ACATGTACTTTTGCTTTTCTTTCTTTTCCTTTCCTCCCCCCCCCACTTTTTTTTTTTTTTTGGTAAGTGTTTCATAGCCCACTTTGGTCTGGAATTCACTATGTAGCCAGGGCTAGCCTTTAACCCGAACTTCTCCTGTCCTTACCTCCTGAGTGCCAGGATTAAGGGTGTATGCTTCTACAATTGGCAACACAGTTCCATCTTACAGACTATTTCCAGTCCCCCTCCTGTCACTCACAGCATTAGTCACTTTACTTATCCATAAGACATTACTACCTAGATTTGTTTATTTTAAACAAAAATTTGTTTATTTTCAAGAAATCTCTCAGCTACACAAATTAAATATGAGAAAAATGAAATATTTTTGAGACAATGTCTCATATGTTCCAGGCTGGCCTCAAACTCTCTGTGCAGCTGAGAGTGACTGTGATTCTCTTGTGGGTTTCTTTACCATATTCTGATGACAGATAAACACTTCTCTCCCACTTTATACAGTCCCAGAGGCTGAATCCAGGGCTCCACACAAGCAGCCTACCAACAAAACTGCATTTCAAGACCTTCATTATTTTAAAATTTAATTTATTTGCTTTTGAAACAGGGTCTCTCTATGTAGCCCGTGGCTTGGCTGGAACTCTCTTTGTAGCCCAGGTTGGCTTCAAACTCACAGAAATCCACCTGCCTCTGTCTTCTCAGTGCAGGAGTTAAAGGTGTGTGCCACCACACACACCACACACCTAGCTCTCTTCGGTGAGTTTTTTTGAACCAACAATAATATAGCACATGATTCAGAAATTACAAAGACTATTCATAATGTACAGAAAAAATTCTCCTGTCCATCCTTGAGTCCCACGAGGTAGTATCTTTCCTAATATCTATCTTTTCTGCACATAAATAATGTATATTTGTACTATTTCATATTGTTTTTCTTTTTTTACCAAAAAGTGACAGACTATAAAACCTCCTGTTCTCATCCATACTTATCAATGCTGTGTAACCTTCCCAAAAGAACACTGCTCCGCTCCTTGTGTGCACATGTCCCAGAGACGTGGACTCCACCTTCAGAGCTGGAAGTGGGTGGTCAGAGGGCCACCCATTCTTTGGCTAGACATATTTGAAAAGTGGGCAGGAGATCCAGTTCAGGACATGGAGCCAGTGGAGCTGTTTTCTGGGTCTCTATGAGAGTCTTTTTTTCCGTGGATAGAGCTGGGTGGGAGCCTCAGACCATCTCTAAATGTGGTTGTGTGGCACAGTAAAGATGAAGCAGATAGGAGAAACTGAAGGGCGTGGATTAAACCAACCTCGAGACCTGAATTAGTGTCGTTCTTGAAAGCATGAGAGGCGAGGGACACTCCATTTCAGTAGCCTGGGGTGAGGTCAAGAGGCACCAAAGTGGGAAATGCTGCACGTACTACGTCTGGACAGGCATTTCCTCCACATCCCAAGCCAAGCCAGCGTATCAGCTCTCTGCTACATAGCCATTCACAGTTTGAAACGCTCTCCCGCGTTTATTTGAGAAGAACTTGTAAGATGGGGCACCGGTCTACCCCACACAAATGAAGAAAGGAAGCTGTGGACAGGAAGGTGCGTGTGGTATGAGGACAGAGGAAAGCCTTTAGTGGTATGAGAACAGCCGTACCCGTTATGCTGTGAGAGGAACGACTGGGCCCTCATTCCACATCAAGATTACCTTCCTTAGCTGGGCATGGTGGCAGACACCCCCAATCTCAGCATAGCCAGACCACATCTCAGACACAGAAATAAAATGAAGCATCACTCACATTTTTTTATTGCTACCCAATAGTGCCTGGCAGATGATCCTTAAAGGAGAAGAGGTTTATTTTGACTCACAGTTTCATCCCATCGTGACATCTCATCATGGCATGGTGGCCACAGAAGCACAAAGCAGCAATTCCTCACAGCTTGCCAGATGGAACAGCAGAGAGCCTGGGCCAGAAGCAGACAGAACCTTCAAGGCCCTCCCCTAGTGACACATCTCCCAGCCATGCCTCCCCTCCCAGAGATTCTAACAGCTGCTCAGCACAGCAACACCAACTGGGACAAGTGTTCAGATGTATGGGATTTGGGGGACATTTCACATCCTGACTTTCCCCTAAATACCACGACACCCTGGGTTGGGACTTTTGCACCCACAAATACCATTTGGCACCAGACTAGCCTTTAGGAACAGCAGGGCTGAATAGTTCTGAAAATTCTGGGACATGGGGAGGTGGGGAACGCCCCAAAAGGACCCACTGTGGTTGCCAAGGCGTTGGCAGCGTCCATGATGCGGCCTCCAACCACGGGTCATTACGCCCTCAAGCTTTAGTATTCTAGGCGTCAGTGGGCCAGCCCCTGATGCAGATTGTGCTGAGGGAAGATAGGGTCCCTGTTACTCAATAGTAGAGTTGTCATGTGTCTTTGTTTTGATGCTGTACTGAATGTCATGGGCAGGGGTACCTCTAAGATTCTTTTTTTTTTTTTTGTTTTGTTTATAGCTCAGGAGATGGAGAAGACAAGAGCACGGCAGCAGCAACTGCTAGGAGCTTGCTGGGGGTCTTTCTGCTGCATTGTGACATAGCAGAGGGCGTCACATGGTGAAAGAGCAGGAACGTAGCTCAGTATGTCTTCTTCCTGGCTTTCAAGGCACAAACAAGTCTCTGCGTTGCTCTATTCATGCCCAGGGGCCTCACTACTAAGTACATCAACACACGAGTTGGGGAGGTTGTGTTTTTAACACACAAACTTCTAGAGAATGCACTCAAGCCATTGCCAAGTGCTGAGCTGCACCCCGCCTCTCCGCCGCCTCCACCAACCTTCCCACAGCCTCTGGGGGTGGGGGGGTAGGGGGGCACCCTCTCCACAGAGGCAGGTTGGTAAAAACTGTGCCTACCCTTCAGCTACCTTTTCATGCTGAGTATGTTTTCTTCCTGCTGTTTCTTTTAATGCTTCAATTTATCTAAAAAGAGTTCAATCCAAAAGGTGAGACTAGAGTCGCCGATAGGGTCTGGAAGCTGATCGCAATCTACAGTGGAGAAAAACAACAACAACGTGTGAACAATAACATTCTTGGTTTAAAAACGGACCTGCCGAGCCTCAGCTGGGTTTACTGTACGTGTGTCGTTTGGATGTGAGGTGGTCATACGCTGTACACACCCCTTTTGTGTCTACATCAGACTGGGCGAACCACTGCGGCACGGCTGCCTTTTGTTTTTTTTAAACTCTGGGTTCATTTTTAGATCCTAAAGCACAAACTGGAATCCGGGAAGTGTGAATTTGCTTGAACTAACCTGAAAAAGGGTTTTCTCAGCCTCTTCCAAACGAAGCTGCAGAATTCACAACAGTTTTAATTATAACACACTAAATAAATATACTAAGCACTCTTTGCTCTGAGGTCGTGGTCTCTATTTTTGTCTCCAGTGTTCTGAGTGGGTTATTGGGTGGCTGAACACTAACAGCTTCCGTGTCACTGCACTGTCTGCCAAAGAAAAACCATTTGGACAGGCAGGAAAATGGGGCAAAAATGTTTTAAAAGTTCTCTTCGAAGAAATTGTCTCTCCAAGCCAACCATGGTGGTTCACACTTGGAATCCCAGCACTCAGGAGGCAGAGGCAGGAGGATCACAAGCGTAAAGTCAGCCTGAGCTACATACTAAGACATTGTCTCAAAAAACAAAACAGAAAAAACCATTACTATTATCTCAATGACAACAAAAACATGGCCCTTAAATAAACCTAAGTTACTGTTTTACTGAATTTCAAAAGCTCGTGGAGAGGGAGAATATCCCCTTTTTACTCAATGTTTTCCGGGGCCTGGAAGTTTAAGCCATGAAGATAAAGGTCACCACACTTGTTACCACAACTGTTTGTGGTGTGTGAGCAGAAAAACCCCACTGTGGTTAGCTAGAGGATGAGGACAGGCCTTGCTGCCCTGTGTTGCCTGCTGTTGACCTCACTTCTCTGCAACCCCCCAGGAAGGTTCTGTCAGAGCGCTCTGTGTCTCTTCCTGTGTACACTGTAGAAACAGTTCTTCAGGATGAGCCTAAGAGAGGGTGGAGACAGGGGTGGAAAATCTGATGCTGGGACAAGAGAACAGGCATTGACGGGTCTGCTCATTTAATTTTCAAAGCGCTCCTTACTACAGATGAGGAAACTGGGATTTATGGCAGCGAAGCGCTGAAGCCCACACTTGAGTGAGTAGACAGAGGTCATTGAATTTCCATCCTGTTTAAGTCAACGCTATAATTTATATCATGATCAAGTCTAAATCAAAGAACTGTTCCTTGCGGTTCATTCAAAAAAAGGTCTAAAACTACAGTCAGGTGCAGCTTAATAGTGCTCATGATGCACCAATAAGATCATCTCACCAAGGGCAGAGGTGATGGCTCAGTGAATAAAATGATTGCTTTAAAAGCATGATGACCTGAGTTCAGGCCCAACAAATAGTCCATACTAAACAAAGTAACAAAGCAAACAAATGAACAAACAAACAAAAACCCAAGTGCTGTGGCACAAGTGAGGCAGAGAGAGGTGGGTCCTTGGGGCTCACTATCCAGTTTCGCCTAATTGGTGAGCTCTAGGCAAGTGAGAAACCTTGTCTCAGAAATGAAAATGAATCACACACGAGGAGCAACAGCTAAGGCTGACCTCTGGCCTCCACGCACAGGTGCACATCTGTGCGCAGGCACACACACGAACACACATATTCCAGGGCGCATACACAAAATAGCAAGAGATTCTATCACGTGATGGTGTTGTAGTCCTGTGGTTCCTATATGTACGCTCTGTGTTCTTACACGATGATGAAATCACCCAGCAGCCCATTTCTCGTGACTGCACCTCAAGCACCCTGACTGAAAAGGTTTGCTATTGCTCCCCTTCCCCTCACCACCGCCCGAACAAATCTTCTCATTGTGGATATTTTCTGTGCCGCAGCTACCCCTGCCACCCCTAGGCACGCTTCCCTGACCCCTGCCTGCCGTCCTGTCCCCAACCCCAGCCAAGATGTCAGAGGATCTAGCAAAACAGTTGGTTAGCTACAAAGCTCAACTCCAGCAAGTAAAAGCTGCTCTGTCTGGAAATGGGGTAGATGAAGATCTGCTGAAATTGAAGAAGGATTTGCAAGAAGTTATAGAATTGACCGAAGACCTTCTGTCAACTCAACCTTCAGAAACTCTCGCAAGTTCAGATAGTTTTCCTTGTGCTCAGCCCACTCATTCATGGAAAGTAGAGGACAGGTGCATGGCAATCCGGAGGGAAGAGGGACAGTGCTATGAAGCAGAGACTGAGGAGAAAGAGGAAGAAAACGGCACTGCTGCAGTCACCTTTGCTGGTTCTGGCAATGCCGAAGGGATCGTCAAGCCTGTAGAGGAAGGAAGGAAGGCAAAAGGGGACAGTGGCTGCAAACCCATGTCGAAAAAGAAAGGATTGCCCAGCAGCTGTTTTTTTCCTTGAATCGTTTCCTGGGCCTATTAGGTCATCTCTACAATTGGCTCACGTTGTGCTTTTTGTCATTGAATTTGAATTTTATATACTAAAAAATGGATAAACCATGAATGGGATGAGCTCCCCTTCTCTGGTGTTTGGTTTCGTATTTTTTTCCTTTCTTGATTTTTCACTTGTGATAGTGGTACTATCTTTGGGATGTGTAAAGTTTACATGGGAAGACAAAAAGCTGATGGATAACCCCGTATACAATGTAGATACAATTTTTGTTTAATAAAAAAAAGACTAAATTAATGAACAAGAGTAGTGAATGTTTCATGATTAGATTTTTTCCCTATATTTCTTGTGCATTAATCTGACCATAATTTCCTGTATATAATGTTTATGTAGCTGAGTCTGTGATTTTTATTAGCTAGATCAAGTTGCCACCACAGTTATCCCAAGTTGAGTTTATACAAAAACACAGATAGAAAGACAAGGGTCTTCCTGTTTCTGCAAAAAGACAATTTTTAGGGTGCGCATTAATTTCAGTTTTTGTATGTTTAACTTTAAAAAATAAGGTGTTTTTAAAATCTCAAAAAAAGGAAAAGATTTGTTATTGACTGTACAAGGTGTTTTGTACAAATATAGTCTTCATTTCGAGTGCTCAGAGCAGACTGGGCTATGCTTAATGTCTTCTTACACATTTTAAATTGGTAAACACACCTACGATAACTGTGGCACCTGGACATTCCCCGCTGCCCCGTTCAGTGTTGTTAGCATATTTAGGTCCAGCTTTTTTCTCATCTTGAAAAAGTGAATTCTATATCCGTATAGAACACCTCTCATTTCCCATCTCTCCTGTCCCTGGCCACAAACATTCTGCTTTCTGCTTCTATGCGTTTAACCACTGCAAGTGAGCACACCTATGTGTTATTTGTACGTTGCTGTTGCTGTTCCAACATGCTCACCCATGTTGGAACACGTGCTAGGATGTCCTAATGTTGAAGACTGTTTCACTGTATGTGTGGGCAAGTGGTCTTTATATTACAATGAAAAAGGTAAATGAGAGACCCGCAAGGGACATGCCAGTAAGCAGCATTCCTTCATGGTCTCTTCTTCATGGTCTCTTCATGGTTTCAGCTCCTGCCTCGAGGAAGCTTTGAGTTCCTGTCCTGGCTTCCATTCATGATGCTGCAAACTGCAACAAACCTTTCTTTCCAAAGTTGCTTTTGGTGCTAGTGTTTCTAACAGATACAAAGAGCAAATTAGGACACAAGCCATCTCCCCAGAGTTGATATTTTAAGGGTGAAATACAAAACAGAAGGAATTTCACAGCTAATCAAACCTGAAATCCAGAATCAAATCCTCGCAGTTTCTCGAGTGCTTCCAGCTGTGAGTAGAGAGACCCCTTTGTGAGGAGGTGTCTCATGTTAGATATCCTGCATATCAGATATTTACATTAAAATCCACAACAGTAGCAAAATTATGGTTATGAAGTAGCAACAAAAATAATTTTATGGTTTGGGGTCATCACAGCATGAGGAATGGTACTAAAGGGTTGCAGCATTAGGAGGTCTGAGAACCGGTGATCTAAGCTGTTTTCCTTTGCAGGGTTCTGTCTTGGACCTGGAGCTGCCTGCCCAGTTAGGCTAGGAACGCCTTGGCAAAGATACAGTATCTTTCATAGAATTATCAAAAGCAACAACACAGACAAAACAAAACAAGGCATGCTCCCATAACTGCCTTCACCTAGCCATCAATTCATCAACCCAGCAGAAATATTGTTAACTAAAAGTTACATGGAACCATTGTTTTGAACTAACACACCAGGCTAAAAATAAAGATGGAGTCGCACAAAATTTCCCTGTTCTCAAGCTCAGGGTAAGCTCTTTATCTGGCCTTCTAAGAAATCAGGATTAGAGGGAAAGGCAAAATTTCACAAATAGGCCAGTTCAATTGCCATGACGATGAAGTTTTTCTGCCTCCATCCTTACACTGAAAATGTAACTGAAAACAACCTGTTATTTACCAGCTACTTTTCTATTATTCTTTTTAAAAGTAACTTCAAAGTGATCTGCTTTGTTTTTTTAATTTTACTTGTTTCTGTTTGTGTTAGCCCTGTTTTCTCATAAAACTAACCTCTAATGCTTAGGTAATTGGGATATTTATCCTTTTTATGTGCTTTAAATTAATTAATCACCCACTTAACTGTCTAATTGTGGTATGGAAGGTCACACTCAAAATCGTGCTCACAGTCAGCGAGCGCTCCACCACCTAAGTCTACCGCCGTTCTTCTCTGTTTATTTTTATCAACTGAAATGTTGTTCGATCCAGAATGAGAGTAACCACAGTTAATATCTCCAGACTCTCTGCTTGTAATATTGTCTCTTGATGTTATACGCACCTCTGGGTTCTGGAGACGGATTCTAAAGATCAATGCCATCTATGATCTGAATGCCTTGGGAGCTCCCCTGGCTCTTGTTTTTGATGCTACAGTGATTATGAGTTGATGACTACGGCTATTATGATTTGCTGTGATTGTTATGTTGATACATAGCCACAGTCCTGAATTCTACTGCAAATTCTTGGCTGTAAGTCTGTTTTTGCCTTTCCATTTACTCCTTCAGACTGAGCTTGCCCATTTATTTCTTGAGGTGTGAACTCTGTATGTAGGAGCCAATCGTGTCCCTTCTTTGCCCAGGCCAGGGTTCCAAGCCTCTCTTCCATGACAGTCAATAACTTGTGCTCTCATTTTTCAGAAAGCTCTGATGCCTGTTCTCCTTGGGGGCTGTATTACATGAAATAATGGGATAAACCATACATAGGCTCTTTTTTTATTTTTAGTGTCTCAGAGCATTTTTTTCTGAGCAAAGCAGTATTTATTATTCACACTCCTGTGTTGCTCAGTGGCATAAACAAATGGCCTCAGGATGGATGTCGCCCCTTCCAGCAGAATGGAGGACCAAACTCTCCCACCCTCCCATGGAGAGGCCCTTGTTGGCTGTCACTAATTCTCTTCCTCTGGACCTCTCTATCTAATTTATATGTGTCTGGGGGCAGTGACAAGAGGAACGTGAAATATAGTCTCCGTTTCATTCTGTAACACATAACCATTTCTTCCATTTTCTTTTTGACTAAAAGATCCGCTAGCTTTGCAGGGGGTCATATTTTCTTCTTGGTTATCTAAAAATCACAAAAGAATATAATATACCTTAGGAAAGTTAGCTTCTTTTCTGGCTTCAGAGATGGCTGAGTGGCTAAGAGCACCAGCTGCGCTTCCATAGGACCTGGGTTTGATTTCCAGCACCTCCATGGCAGCTCATAGCTGTCTATAACTCCAGTCCCATAGGATCTGATGCCCTTTTCTAGTATTGCACACACATGTGGTACACAGACACACATATAGACAAAACATCCATACACATAAAAATAAATTTAAAACATTAATTTTAAAAGGGGAGCTGAGAAGATTTCCAAGTCCTTCACTGTGTTTGAAGTATTTGGGGTTTCTGTTGATATTTCCTGCTTTATAATAAATTTGAATGCATAGTGGACCACAAAGAAAGACCCATTTTACACTCATTTTTGACAAAGAAGCCAAAACCATACAATGGAAAAAAAGAGAGCATCTTTAACAAATGGTGCTGGTCTAACTGGATGTCTACATGTAGACAATACAAATAGATCCATAATTATCACCCTGCACAAAACTAAAGTCCAAGTGGATCAAAGACCTCAACATAAAACTAGATACACTAAATCTGTTAGAAGAAAAAGTGGGGAAGAGTCTAGAACTCATTGGCACAGGAGACAACTTCCTGAACAGAGCACCAACATCACAGTCTCTAAGAGCAACAATCAATAAATGGGACCTCACGAAACTGAAAAGCTTCAGTAAAGCAAAGAACACTTGTCAGGACAAAATGACTGCCTACAGACTGGGAAAGGATCTTCACCAACCCTACCTCTGACAGAGGGCTGATATCCGAAATATATAAAGAACTAAACATGTTAAAAGGCAACAAATCAAGTAATCCAATTAAAAAATGGGGAACAGCCAAACAGAGAATCCTCTGTGGAGGAATACCAAATGGCAGAGAAACACTTAGAGAGCCATTTCTTCTCTGAGTAGGCACCAGCCTGTGGTCTGGGGCTTATAGTTGGAAACAGAGGAAAAGCGCATGTGTCTCTCTCCTGGTGCTGTGCTCTAGTCCTCATGGACATCAGAAGTCCGGGATCTCTGGCAATTCAACTGAACTTTGGTCTTCACACTGAGCATTTCACCATCTGCTTCTTTGGTTCTGGGGCCACTGGATTTGGATTCGGTTATGGCTCATGTGTCCTAAAGTTCGTAGCTGCACAAAGCCTGTCATGGAAACTCCCAGTCTCCATAGTCACATGAGATGATTCCCACAAATCTCCCTCTGTATCTTAGCGATTTCTATCTGCCTGGAGAACAGGCGGGTTACAGAAATGTATACACAGCAGAAACTAGGAACGGAATAGAAGGTGAGAACTAAGAAGTTCAAATGACGGCTGTCCAGGCAGCTCAGTGGGTAAATGTGCTTGTTGTCAACCAGATGACATAGCTGGATGTCTGGGACACTCGGGGGTGGGGAGAGAGAACCGACTCCCACGAGCCATCCTCTGACTTCCATGCAAATTATGATGTGTACACATATGCGCACACACATATACATGCATACGCCCGAGCACACGCACAAGCCAATAAATAAATATAATAGAAAAATTTAAAACAAGGTGAAGTAATGTTCCTCTTTTCATAGTTTGAATTTTTATTTTTCTTATTGAATTCCAGAAGCTCCTCAGTAGTCCTGTGTGGTTCTGTGTCTACCATACCTTAATCACTAGTTCTGTGTGGTTATTAAAATTAAAGTTAAATATACCAAGCAATTAGCTCCTTGGTTTCAGGAGCCCCACGAGGCTGGTGGCCGGCGTAGACCTAGCACTCTGCCATCATGACAGGCAGTTCTCAGGGACGTCATAGACTTTTCTTTTTTTTAATA